TCCCTGTTAGCATTCATAATATAACAATTCGTTATAAGAATGGAATATTAGCTAATATCAGTTAATATTCATAAGCTTAAAGAATTGTGCTTGATAATAAGTAAACAAAAATTTGAAAATGCAAATTTCTCTTTGATTGCAGAAACTCCGATTAAAATTTACAATTCGTGATTATTGCTATTAATTAGAGAAGCCAGTCACGATGGCAAATATACAGAATAATATATATATGTGTGTCGACAGTCGAAATCTTTAGATCGGAAGATTTGACTGATCAGGCTAAATAAGATTGACACTTAGTCGTTTTCATTTAGTTAATCAGATCCCTGGACATATTACTATTACTCTACGTAGTACTAACACGTCCAATTCCAATAGACAATTTTGTAATTGTACTTATTACTTCCACTCGATTTACATTCTCATAACGTGTGAGATTTCTCCCGTGACATGTGAATTGTCAGAGCAACCACTAATATTATTACAAATTATTTTGTAATAATTATCCTATGGAGTATATTACTGTATACCAATGTTTATAAACAAACAAACTGAGAAAGCAGACGGAAAGTTTAACCAATCATCAAGAATTAGCTCAACCTTATTGTTTGTTTACTTACTAGTTTTAGATTACTATATAAACGCCGTTCTCCTCAGCCAAAATCTTCAGTTAGGAAGATTTTGCTGGCAGAGCTAATAAACTTGTTCGATAACATATTCATTAGTATCACCAGAGACGTTACTAAAGATATATCACTCCAGATATTTAGTAACTTATTTTAGAGTATCCAGCTTGACAATTCAAGCAATTATAACTGTATTCCACTCACACACTTATTACTATACGGAGTATTTTCCCGTGACATGAATGTCGTAGGACTGTATAATTATTTTATCCATTTTGTCACGGGAGAAATCTCATACGTTATGAGAATGTAAATCGAGTGGAAGTAATAAGTACAATTACAAAGTTGTCTATTGGAATTGGACGTGTTAGTACTACGTAGAAGAATAGTAATATGTCCAGGGATCTGGATAACTAAATGAAACGACTAAGAGTCAATCTTATTTATCCTGGTCAGTCAAGTCTTCTGATCTGAAGATTTCGACTGTCAACACACATATATATATTGTTCTGTATATTTGCCATCGTGACTGGCTTCTCTAATTAATAGCAATGATCACGAATTGTAAATTTTAATCGGAGTTTCTGCATTCAAAGAGAAATTTGCATTTTCAATTTTTTGTTTACTTATTATCAAGCACAATTCTTTAAGCTTATGAATATTAACTTATATTAGCTAATATTCCATTCTTATAACGGATTGTTATATTATGAATGCTAACGAGGGATCCAATTATGACACCTCCCTGCCTAAGAGTCTTTCACTTCTTTGAATTGGAAGACTCTTATTTTCATTGCGGTTCTTCTGTTGGAGAAGCGCGACGATTAAATTCAATGAGCTTTGAGTATGCCTTTTTTCGAACGATGTCTCTAGGAACCCATGTGACTGAGCGATAGTCATAATCTGAGAGTTGCGATCTATATAAACAATTGTAGTGAGAAGGCTTTTCTAGGTTATCAGCTTCTAAAATTTCGTCAATAACGATGTTTTGCATAAAATTGTTTGAGCTTAAGTCCGCGTTGTAAGGTTCGAGTTCGGATACATGAAAACTAGCAGGATAGCGTCTTCGTATCGTTTCAGGAAAATTTAACTCGTAGTTATGTTCTCCTATTTTTCTTTTTACTGAAAATGGACCAACAAATGTTGGTTCAAGTTTATTTGATTGATGGAAAAATCCCACTTTGCCATTTTTGACTAATACCTGATCGTTAGGTTGGAAAATCGGTGGTGGAATTGTTTTTTGGTTGTAATACTTTGCGTATTTATCATTTGCTTTTCTGATACGTTCACGTATTTCATCGATGGATTCTGTTCTGTCCGGTAAATAAGGAATATCTAGTTCATCCAGGATTTGCGTATCCCAAGCGGTAACTATAGCTTGAATACCAAAAGCAGCATTAATTGGAGCTATTTTTGTAGCAGAATGCTGTGAAGAGTTATAACATAATTGAGCTTTGAGAAGATAATTGACCCAATTTGTTAAATGTTTGTTCACGTAGCAACGAAGATATGACTCCAAGATTTGATTGACGCGCTCTGTTTGTCCGTTTGTTTGTGGATGATATCCTGAAGATAACATAAGATGTATTTTATGGTCTTTGGCATATTGTCGCCACTTTTCTGAAATAAAAACAGGTCCCCGATCTGAAACAATATCAATTGGATATCCAAAACTGGATATGATTTTGTCCTCGAATATTTCAATTAACTGATCCGTGGTCGTTGTTGTGTTACAAGCGATAAACCAAGCCATTTTGGTAAAACGATCTACAATGGTTAAAATTGCATCTTTACCTTGAGAAGGTGGTAATCCTGTTATAAAATCCATAGAATAATGTCTGAATGGCTTTTCTGCAATGGGTAACGGTTGTAATTGACCATATCGTTGATGATTTCGATTTTTATGTCGTTGACATATGTCACAATTTTTTACATATTTTTGGATGTCTGCGGTCATACCTTTCCAGT